CCTCAGAACAATTCTAACAAAGTTAAGCAACTTTCATGTTAACTTCGTTTTCAAATAGACCCTCTTTCTACTTTCAAATGGTCTGCCAAGCATTACTGCTCTGTTAGTTGGAGACCTTGGCGTGTCTTTCGCTTTCTGTTGTTGACTCTCTTAAATTTTATCATCTTTCTTGGCCACTCTTCGCCTCTTTCGAGGAGGGAGAGGATCATATTCACTAGTACCGATTTTTTACTCTCTATTACAGAGAAATCGTTTTTTTTTTTCCGCAAAGAAAGAGATAGTGTAGCTGAGAGTAATCAGCTGATCCTTGTGATCTTTTTGGCAGTGAGATAGATGTGGCAAAGTCTCCTTTCCCGACAAACATCATTCTTAAACTCATAAACGCTTTGGACGCATCGACAAGGTAGCTTCACAAAAACAAACTATCTTTGAGCAGTGAAAAGAGCTGGCTCCGATGGTCGTTAGTCTCTTTCCGCTCGCAGATTCTTCCGCAGCTGACTCCTACTCTGCTTATGAGACAATGCTAAGGTGTACCATTTGTAAACAAAACATGTATTTCCACTTTACCTCATTAGAAGAATACAGAGAATTAGTGAAGACCAGAAGAAAAGTGAGATATTGAATAATTTACTGACTGGTTATATACAATTACATACATTACATCCCATTCTTTTAGAGAAGAGAAAAAAATTGAAAGTGGTTTTAAAGCCCTTCAGTAATTATGGAGTTTATTTCTAGAATTTTTGTCAGCCTCCTGCTAAGTACTCTTAAACGATATCAAACCTGTGTATTAATTTTCTATTGAGATGCGAAACTGACAATATTTTTCCAACCTTAGCCTCTATTGAATGGAAGAAACAAAAGAAGTCAAAGAAATGTTTTAAACTATTTTAGCTATATGAATTTGTATTAGCTGTTGTGAACGGTTGACAAGGACTGTGCTTGACCTCCAGTGCAGCGTTTTGGTGCTTTTTAAAGTTTGGAGATAGAATGGGTGGCTGATCTTAGCTTCCATGTGCGCAACTTCACCAAGTCACTGCAACGAACA